AGTCCTTAAGTCATTTGGACAGTGAAATTTGTGATTTTCATATGGAGAAAAATAAGAATGGACTTGAGATGGATTCTTATTTTACCCCCTTGTGGGAGAAGTCCTCAATCAGCTCTGATGAGTAGGGAAGGTTACTAAGTGATTTTTAAAAAAAAGAAAAAACAATTTAGATGATTCAGGAAGTTTCTTCAGGGTATAAACTGCCATTTATCAGTAGCAGGTTACTTACTTCTCTAAGGAAAGGCCTCTTTGTCATAGCTAATATGGATAAATCGACTACCATTAATGTGTTGGCTTATTAAAAAAAAAATGAATTATTGCACTACTAAAATCTTCCAGTGATTAAATTCTGGGAAGGCAGCAGGTGCTGGCACTGCGCCTGTTAGGGTTGGGGCGGGGAGGCAGCAGCTGTTTGCAGCCTCCTGGCTGCAGCCGGCCCAGGTTCTGGGGTAGCTGCTGCCAGCCATGGTGCTGGGGTGCTTGCAGCCTCCCAGCCGTCTGCTGGGAGCAGCCTGCGCTCATGGCTGGCAGCAGCTATCCAGAGCTAGAACCAGCTTCAGCTGGGAGTCTGCAAACAGCTGCTGCCTCCCAGCCCCAGCCCAGGCTCCAATGCGTGCTGAAAAAAATGGCCTTGCATGCCATGCTCAGCACGCGTGCTGGGGGTTGCCAACCCCTGGTCTCTAACTTACTGCTTTCGTTTACTTTTCCATAACTCATTTGCTTTGTATACCTATGGGGTTCCAGTGGCATCTGTCATCAGTTTGCCCCTAATATGAGTTACAAGTCAGGTTTTTGAACTTGTGCACTTCGTAGTGAATATTTTTAGCTGCTTTCTCCTGTTTTTTGTTTTTTAGCTTTCGTGAACTAGACGTCAACTAAGAGACATTTTGCTTTACTTGCCTCCTGTAGCTGGCCTCCCTTTTATATTGTCCTATTCATTCATTTGAATGTACTGAACAGTGTCATCTTTTAATTGCTGTAACCTGATCTTTGTCCTAGAGAAACAAACAAAATACTCTTCCAAAACAGCAATTTTTTTGGGACTCATCCCAACTGTTCAGTACTATTTGAGATGGGGCACCTGACCATTTAATGGTGCCAACTTCAACAGATCTTTCCCATTTCATCAAGGATTTAGACATTGCTAAATCTAATCTCATATACAAATGAGGGCGTGAATAACATTCAATTTTTTTTCTCCCAGGAAGCTGAAAGATTGAATTGATACAGAAAGCTTTATTCTGTATCTTCAGTGTTTTGGTCATCTTTTTTTATTTGTCACATCTGTTCCACTAAGGAACTGCTGTACCATTCAAGTATTTCTTCTCCAAACAAGAGAAATAGTTTAAAGGAACATAGTGGTTTTACTTTTGATTGGGAGCATACACTGAGTCTGCAGTTGTTATAACATAGCTGTTTTACTGTTTTAAGCTAAAACTGTCCCTCCTTCTTGTTCTTTAATGGTGGTGGTGGTGGGGGGGGAATATGTTGTTAAATATTATGCATGACAGCTTTTTGTTTTAGCCGAAGCAAAAGGCTGCTGAATTCAGTTATGTTTTGTGACCATAATTTGCCTGTCTTGAATGGTTCTTCAAGAAAACCCTTCTAGGTTATATCAGTTCCACTAGGGAATGTTTTCCTTTTTGTGGCCTTGTTTAGCCCTTTTACAGCTGCAGAAGTTTACTGTTACAGGGAAGAGCCCATTGATTGCTCATCTAAAAATGCATTGCTTTTTGTGTTCTGGTATTTTCTGGATGTTTTGATTTCATAAACCTTTGAGTGGTTGTTGTATTCAAAGATGTATCTAATTGTTACATTTACATGCATATTACTGTATTTTCTTGAATACAAGATGCCCCTCCAATAATTAGTTTCTACATATGGAGAACGTATGAATTTGTAATGATTTTTTAGGTACAGAATCTAATTATTGGAGGTTTGCCTTGAATTTGTCCCCTTCCCACTGCTACAGCAGGAAAAATTAAATCTGGGGGGTTCGGTGGCCCCTGCAGTCCCTCCCCCATTTACTCGTAGCCCCCCTTATTGTCAGTCTACATGTTAATTAATGTGCTATAATTATGGCGCATTATGTTTAGTATCTGTAATAACAGGTACTAACTTAATGCACCATAATTGCTGCTGCACATTAGTTCAGATGAATGCTTTTTGTGTGATGCTTAATGCCCATTAGATTAATTTTACTGCGCATTAATGCTAAAATTTAGCACTGTTTTTGCCAGCTACGCAAATGCGCAGTAGAATTTAATCTAGTGAACATGGTCTTATGTAGGTGCACCCACTATGCATGATATTAGTTCAAAGCCAACATGCTCATGACTTACCACATGGATAGGCAGCCCCTAGCCTGTGTGCCAGAGCGTAGCACACAAAGGAATTTTGCTTGGCATGCGTGCCTCGGTGGATGGTGGGGAAGGGGCTGGGGCTGCACTGCTACAACAAGGATCTTGCTGCTTTACTGCCATCTGCCCCTGGCATGCCAACATTTTGCAAGTTGAGGTTGTAGCTGTTGTTGGCACTCTGCCCAAAAATGTTGCCAGCCCCTAACTTGCCGTATGGTTCATGGGGCTGGGCCCCAGCAGAGTTAAGAGCATTTTCAGACACTGTAACCCCACAGCTCAACATTACTTAGTATGTGTGCACACTCCAGATTCCACCCCCCCACCCCTTCCCAGAAAGGTCTATGTGCCAACTAGTCCTGACTCATGACTAGGACAGGGTGTTCTTGTCATGAGTCCTGGGATCCCCCCAAGAATTTGTGCAGATGAGGTCCTGTGTTACTTTATAAAGAGCCTGATTGGTATGACCCTGCCAACACCAGGGGTGGCAGAGGGATTCTGGGTGACCTGTTTAGGTCACTTGGTTGGTGATGTTTTCCAGACATTTAAGGCTGGTGAAGTAACAGGAATTATTGGAAATGGGAAAGAAAGGTGCAGTTCAGCTGTGGGAGTGAAGAAGAAGTTGAAATGTATTCAGTGTAGTGGCTCACTATGACTTGAATTGGTGCTGAGGGGGACTAAGCACAATGGGCACTACTATACATCTTATTCAGATGGGTTGAACTAGTTTGTCTTTGTGGTAGGCTCCCATCAGTATGAACCATGTGTTTTATAGTCATGTCACCTTTGGCTGCATTTACTTGATGTCATAGTTGATTTCCATTACAGAGCACATGCTGCATTTGGCCGCAGTTTCATGATAGGCAATGTATTTAATGAAGTTTCCTTATATGTGAATATGAGATGAGGGGCTTTTCTCCAGGTGGTGGTGGTGGGGTGCGGGGGCAGATGGACCTCATTGTATATTTGAGTAAATATGGTTTGTTCCTTGATCTGTTTTGACTTTTTTGGTTGGGAAACTTTCTTAGCTATATCTTGTATTAATTTCTTTTTAATCAGAAAACAAAGCATCAAGATAGCTGTTGTTTGAGGACTGATTTGTGTACTGCTTCGAGCTATATAAACTGGTACTTTCTCTCATGAACACTTACTTGCATGGAAAGAGAAGCCATTTTCAATAATGGGACTTCAGCTCTTTTAAGATATCATTCTTGTGTATCAGTGGTGCTCAGATTTCTGGCCCTGTAGGCTGGGTAGGTGGTGCAGCACTGGTCCATGGGCAGGATCCTGGGTGTGGGGCTGGTTTGCCAGCCCAGCCTCTGGCATGGGATCTGTTTGCCCAGTGGCCTCGCCTATCATATTGGCCTGATGCCATATACCAATTCCTCACCATGGGCTGGCATGATCTAGCACACAGGGCCACATCCAGTCTGCAAGGCTCCCCACATGCTTAGACATTTAGCAGCAGGGTAGTGGAAATTAATGCTGCTCCTGTTCTTCTGCTGCCACATTTCCAGATGCGGGGAGCCTGCAGACTGGATGGTGCAGCTCTGTCGACCAAATCTGACCTGGAGGCTGAGGTCCACTGTGTGATATGGATCGATGAATAGTTATGCGTCAGCTAATGAGCGTTCTCTGTTCTTTCTCTGACTTCTTCAGCTTCCCTCCTACTTGGGACCCCGCATCAACTATACTGTCTTTGCTCTCATTTTTAAATCAGAACTCTGTCACTATAGAGTTAGGTCCAGTCCAGTTAAACCAAAGTTCATGCTGTTTTCTTTACAACATTAAGATCGTGACCTTTCAGCTATTTGTTCTTGATAACTCTCAAATCCATCCCTTCTGGTTAACCTTAAAGGGCGTGTCTACTCTACATGTGTGCTGTAGTGCAGATTAGACTATTTTACTGTGCATTAAAGCATCATGTAAATACCGTGACATTATGCTAATGTGCAGTACAATAGTTTAATGCACATTAAGTGTCACTAAAAAAGCATGCAAATGTGCTACTGCACATTAGCACAGCCTAATGCGCATTAATTTTAGTACCTGCCATTAGAGGTACTAAATTTTAATGCACATGTAGATGCACCCAAAGTTACTACTCTGTCTTAGAGCTTTTGTTCACATCTGCCACAGCCAATACATTCTTTAGAGCCTTTTGTTTTCTTCTTTTGTCCTTTTCTTTGCTTATGCTATCAAAGCTTTTACTTTCAGAAGCTTTAGTTTCTATCTTTGGAGGATCCTCATGGGTGTCTGCGATGAGGACTTCTGACCCAAGACTGGCCTCAGGGAAAAAGGTGTCCTTGGCAAACTTTTTCCCCTGCTCCCCAGTTAAGAGCGCCAGCTGCAGTCCAATAGGGAGGCAGGGCTGCATGGTGCGCCAGACAGGGAGGTGGGCAAGAACCACTGTTTCTGAAGTTAAGGCAGGAAGGTTTTGGAGAAACTGAAGTTTGTGGATCTTTTTATAACTAAATCTTTCTGTCAATTAAATTGATCATTTGATTTCTGGGTCTGGTATGAGGGCACAGTAGAAGGGATATATGCTGAGTGTCCGTTGTTCATATGTTGGGAATTGGCCAAAATGTATAATTTTGTTATTCAGCAGTTGTTTAAAATTTTTGCATGTTGTTTGCTTTTTAGAAATATTCTAGTGGACAAGCCTAATGATCAGTCCTCAAGGTGGTCTTCAGAAAGCAACTACCCTCCCCAGGTAAGGTTTTTAACTTTGTCTAAGTATTCAGTGCTTTTGTAGTTTCCGGAGACAGAAAGTTTAAGCTCTGGTCTTTTAGGTATGAACTACTAATATTAACAAATGGGTTACTTGCTCAAATTTGTCAGCTGCAATAAGTGCTGGTGGTTTCCCGAAATGCTACTTCCTGTAGTTCTTCAATCTCTGCTTTTCTCAGGAGTCCTTTCCCTTATACCTGGTATTAGTGGTGGTGTATTCATGATGGTGCAGGGAATGTCTTCTATTAGATGAAGATGTTAGATACATTTTTGGGCACTGCTCTTTTTCAGGTCATGTAATTAAGGGAATTTAAAATTATAGTCTGTTTTTCTTTTTCCTCCTGTTCTTTCTGCCCTTCTGGCAGCATATTGTTGTCTACCAGAAAGCACTCGGAAAGACCACATTAGGTCAGAATGTTTTTGACACTTTAGATTCTGATTCAAAAACTTTTGGGTTTATCATGTGAATTGTGTGTCGTGTTTGCTCAGTCAATAGTGCTAATATTGCATGGCACTTGAGTAGCATGGCACGCTGGGTGAAAATCACTCTTCTAGTCTTACTTGAGAGATTTTACGGTCACGACTGTAGTTTCATAGATGTTGGGGTCGGAAGGGACCTATTAGATCATAGAGTCTGACCCCCTGCCCTGGCAAGGTATCTATCCAATCTCCTTTTAAACACCTCCAAGGAAGGAGACTGCACCACCTCCCTTAGAAGCTTGTTTCATATTTTGGCAACCCTCATTGTAAAGAATTTATTTCTGGTGTCCAATCTGAATTTGCTGTCTTCCCGTTTGTGGCCATTATTTCTAGTAACCCCGACAGATGCCCTGGTAAACATCATGTCCCCTATTTC